TCTTATTATAAACCGCCTCTGATATGTGTCCACTCCATTTCAGGGTTAGCAGCTTCTCAGATAGCTTCCGGGTCAAGCGGTCTGTCGGATCTTTGTTGAGCAGCTGGTACGGTCCGGAATCAATTAGCGCTGACATTTTTGRGTGGTATGTGTCAGCGTCCAGGATTACGCTAGCGCGTCCTTTGTCGGCCGGAAGGACCATGATTGAGTTGTCCTCTTTTAAGCTTTTAAGAGCCTCCTGCTGTTCCATCGTGATGTTGGGCGTGGGTGGTTGTGATGAATAACAACAACCTTTTCCTCGACATCTTCGAAATAGGATTGAAAAATTCCGAGTGATTGTACAAAATGACTCTAGATCGCGAAGAAAAAATATTTCGAAACAAAAAAATTCGCAGAAAGGGTTTTGTTGTTTGAGTGTTGAAATATAGCTAGCTGGGGTCCGAGTTTGAGGGCAAACAAAGTTCTTAACCCCTGTCCCTCTCTGATGATGGAGATGGATTGTTTTGGTTTTTAATTTTTTGTTTTCAAAATGCCATGCATAGTCATTGTCTAGGGAGCTACGCGGTCCGTCTGTAAGTTGGTCCTAAATTTGAAACTTTCCTTTCAGATGACTTACAAAACGAGCATTTAAGTTGCTTAACGTTTTTCCCTGATCATCCAGTTTTCGCCATTGCTGGACAGCTTTGTTTACTAAAATGAAGTCACTAAACCAAATATAACTCGAGTTTCCCCCGTCATTGCCCACGCAGCTCCCGTCTGGCTTTTAGGCTCAGCTGGCGGAGCCACAGTGATCGATCTAATTCCAAGGCCCTGGGTTGAAAGCACCCCAAGTAAAGTTGAAATATATTTTATTTTCCTCTAGTGGTTCCCCGTTTCCTTTGCAGGGCTAAAGCTCAGAGGGAAATTACTGAGTTGTTTTCCAGCTCTTTAGATAACCTCAGAGTTAATTCTCTGCGTGCTTTTTCATATTCTCTTAAGTATTGGGTGGCGTAACGTTGAATTTCTGAATGTACCCGTAGCCCCTAGAAATCCCGGCTGGACATTAACATTGAAAACATATATATTTTCTGTTCTGTTTCCGTCTTACATGTCCAGGATACTACAACTTATAGTGACACTTATAATTACTTGACAGTAAACACACAGTAAGTAGTTCATTGATAAAGACAAAAAACGTTTGACGCATCTATGACATGAAATTGTTTGTATCATAGCTGTTATATTTGTTATTAAACTTGTTATCGATTTCGTAGCTACTTTACGGGTTTATCGAGCTCACTGAGGGACATCCCTTGCCTGAGGATTATTTTGCCTCTGTCCTAAACTTACCCTTGTTTGTGTTCTAACATTCGTTAAAGGGAGATATTTTCGCTGCTAAGGCTTTTCATCTTCGCGCTGATTCTTAGTTGACTGCAACTGACACGTTTGACGCAATCATTTGCGTCGGGAATTCCATGTGTGATAGCTGTAATACTTGTTATATAATTAAATTTGTTATAGATTTCGTACCCTCTTTACGGATTTATCTCAGTGAGAAATTTCCCTTGCCTTCCTTGGCGCAACTGAATTTGTAAAAATTCTGAAATTGTGATCACTCCTGGGTTCGGAAATCCCAGAAGAGCCAAGGAATAGCAAACCTTGTGACGCATATTTCTCTTAGGAGGACAGCCGAACTGCTCTATACGCACTTTCAGTTTATCCTTCTCGATGATAAATCTTCTCGGATGCAAAAATCTAACAAGCAAGCAGCAAAATTAAATAACTACTAGGGTTTATAAGTCTCTGCACGGGTTGGCTCCAGAATATGTAAGTTCTAAATTTGAGAGGCGAGAAACCGCATATTATCTAAGGAACTCTGAGAATAAGCTTAATGTTCTCTATACGCACTTTCAGTTTATCCTTCTCGATGATAAATCTTCTCGGATGCAAAAATCTAACAAGCAAGCAGCAAAATTAAATAACTACTAGGGTTTATAAGTCTCTGCACGGGTTGGCTCCAGAATATGTAAGTTCTAAATTTGAGAGGCGAGAAACCGCATATTATCTAAGGAACTCTGAGAATAAGCTTAATGTTCCATTGCCGCGTACAAACTATTATAAAAATTGCTTCAGCTATAGTGGCGCCATTCTTTGGAACAGTCTCCCTTGTGACTTAGGGGAAGCAGAGTCCCTGAGGCAGTTTAAACCCCTACTCAAAGGAGATGTATAACGCACGACATTCGTGGAAAGCAGCTTTTTTATTGAATTATTTTTATTATAATTTAGGAATTGAATATATTTGTAGTTTTAGCTGACGAATTTTCAGCCGTGTTGAAATAAAGATTATGTATGTATGTTTAACATCCATGCAATGCGCGTGGTTATATGGATGATCATTCTCCAGAATTCAGAAATACGCAGGTCGCGAACTCAGAATGGATCAGGTTGGTGTCCATGGGATGGACACCGCCACCTGGCAAAAGGTAATCTGGTCGGCCAAAAACAACCAGGCGCCAAACTATCATGACTGAACTCAGTGAGGTAAAACTCGCTTGGGGTGAGACACTACATGTTGCATAAAATAGGGATAAATGGAGAGGGATTGTATTGCCTTATGTCCCATAGGGGGACCAGGAGGATTAAGTAAGTAAGTTTTGTGGTTTACCCAAATTTTGGAACATCTCTTACCGGGAATTTCGGTTCCATGTGATTTTCTCTGTACAATCTCTGGAATTTTCGGTTGAATGGTTCGTATTCTGGAAATCCAGCAATTTTTAGAGTGTCCAGAAATTTGCCTACCATTTGCCGAGTTTGGAAAGGTTCGGAATCGTTGCTTGAACGGAAAGTACAAATATTTTATTAATAGTAATTAACACTGGCAAATGTTTATTATTCAGCTTTAATATGTTGAAAGAAAAACTGATAACGCGAAGATATATTGGTAAATTATCACTAAAATTGAAAGCATTAGCACAGGCAGTTAACGTTACACGTTTGACTAATGATAATAACACAAGATTGAATCGTCAATTCTAAACTCTACTTTAAAAGCGATACGGACCCTTATTACACGAAGATAAATTTAGAAGTCTATACGAAGACGTGAAATATTATATGAAACTGTACTTTTTCATAAGCCACCACAAATCACCCTCAAACGAAACAATAGTATATTTATGGAAAGGCTATCGTGCCTCGGCACTCAGTAATAAATCTGATTCTCGCACCTTTTTTTCGAACTTGCTAATCTGGGAACTATTTTACCTGTCGAACTGAGGGCCTAAAGCACAATAAAACAATGCCGGGATCAGGCTTTATCGTCGCAGGAATGCATGGTGCATGAGCAAAGCCACTACATGTATGTTAACTGAGGTTTTTTTTTTTTGAAGTTTATGTTTTTTTCGAATTCTTTTATAGTTATAAACTCCCGGATAACGACCTTTTTTTTATTGGGATACAGGTCGGGCGCAACGCCCTCTACTGAGAAAGTAAATGTGTTTTATATGGTTTAACTCTGATTTACAGCGATGACTACAAGTGAAAACTTCAGCGTTGTTTTTTCCAATTGCCAAGAAGCCCTTTTTGCTTTCTTCAAATCGTTTAAGGTGCTTTAGCCGAGCAGCTTTCTTTTCCTGAACCGGTTTAACATAAACGGGTTTATCTTGTTGCCACGGGCGGCTACGTCCCTCTTCTTCGGAAGGCTCGGCTCCTCAACTTCGCGCCTTTTTCGCTTCATGCCAAGATGATCGCGTTCTAATGCCTCATACATGTAGGCAAACAGCATGTCAATGGAAGGCACGGAAGAAGTCGCTTCGCTCACAGTGGAAGTTGGTGTTAGGTACCAGTCGTCTTCAGCTGAACTTGTACTGGATGATGAAAATGACGATGTTGTACTGGAGGTCTCCTGTTCCCAATCCCAGGCCCAGCTACTGGTGGTACTAAACGAAGAGGCAGTGGTAGTCTCGAGCGACGGTGTCAACTCCCGACTAGCAGTGTTATCGTCCCAGAACCAATCGCTGGTTGTTATTGAGCTTGAGCTAGAGAAAGGCGTGCTTGACGCTGTTTCTGCAGCAACAGAAAAACATAAAACGTTTGAAAATACATTTACATCAGAGAAAAAGCTTTCAGACTGACAAGAACATATAATTTGACCCCAAATTATCTCGATATATATATATACGGCGGAAATTAGGAATCTTTAAAAAAACAGGCATCGAAACAATGTGTCCTGCTGCAGATCTAAACACACATAGAAGCATTGCTTGAATGTACACTCTTATTTTTATAAGAATACATTTTATACGAATATCGAGGCTAAATTTTCGAAATTTTAGAATAAACCCGAGGCTGAGATTTGAAAAGAATTAATATAATTTTATGTGGCGAAAATTTGGAGGGTCAACAGAATTTTATGTTTTGATCGAAACCGTGTAAAGTTCTTCCTTTCTCTGAACAGTAGAACGAGCCAGAAAACAACACATATGAACAGCACTGTATGTTCGACGCTAACAACATTTCTACAAGAATTTGTGTGTATCATATCAGGCTTCATTGCCTGTAGACTGGCTCCAAAATTACTTCAACGCCATCAAAGTCCATAAATCTGAAATATCTTACGTTATAATCTAAGAATATTCACAAGAATATTTTCAGCCTAAAATCAGCAGAAAAATAAGAATATTCACCCTGGGCCGTAAAAACAATATAGAATGTAAATGTATTTCTGTTTTGAATGCATACGTAGTTACATATATAGCGGTTTTCAATTGAGTGTTGTAAAACCAAAACCAAACCAATTACTTACCAATTAGACTACTCAGCCAATCTCAAACCGAAGTAAAACCAAAACCAAAACCAAAGTAATTGTCTAATAGACCAATTTCGATATATTAAAATTCAGCCTAAAACAACAGACCTCTGTGCGAGGCTCTGAGGAATAACCACAGAGTTTGTGGGGTTTATTCCCCGGAGCCTCGTGCTGAGGTCTATTGTGTTAGGCTGAATTTTAATATATCAAAATTGGTGTATTACTTTCGACACTCAATTGAAAACCGCTCTAATATACTGAACTATACCATTATCAACAATTGCTATGTGATTTCAACTATGACGTTTCACCGAATTCTCTAAACTAACAATGTATAGTAAATGTACGCTTATCAATATGGAGAATTGATATTTTCGTCACTGGCTGATAGAGCAGTGGGTTTTTACCTTCCCAAGGCCACGCTGAACAAAGCTGGCAAAAAGGTGCCACCAATAACAGCAACAGCAATGCACAAGCAAGATTCATCTTCTTTGCCAGTTCGTTAATGCTAGTTTCTGAAAGAGAAGTTGACGAGGTAACAAGCACATTTCTTTTTTTCTTTTCTAATAAAATAACACATCTTCTCGGGTTGGCCTCAGTCACATAAAACTAGCCTGCGTAGGAAGCGTTACTGTGGGGTTCGGAAGCAAAGAATTACAGCGCGAAAAATGGAGCGAGTAAAAGAGGAGGGAGGGGAGGGGAAGGAAGGAAGGAAGGAAGGAAGGAAGGAAGGAAGGAAGGAAGGAAGGAAGGAAGGAAACGCCTGCAGACAAACCCCTGGATTTTGAAAACCGCCCACTTGGCCTTTCATGCCAGAGTGCGCACACTGAGATTTCGTGCTGTCATCGGCTGTCATAAATTAATCAATGAAATCTTCGGCCTTCCGTCGCGGAAGTGAACTTTGAACCAAAATAAACTTTAACTTGTCAAAATATGCCTGAAACAACGAGCGCACAGTGGGAACGGAGAAATCTCGATTAATTAAATTTGGTAATTTATGATCAAGCTATATTTCTACTCAATCCGTCTAAAAGGAAGGACTGCAAGGGTGAAGTTTTAGCACAAATCTGCCAGAAAGTTAAAAAGTGAGACGTATTCAAGTCGCGTTAGTAATCCTTGTGCTCGCAAGATTCGAAATCTTGGATCACTGTATCCATTCGTTCAGGAATCGATACAAGGTAAAATTAGCAAGTCAACTCCCACAAAGGCAACTCCCGTAAAGAAGCGTTTGCTGGAAACGTCAGATCCGCAAATCGGTTCGAGTGTTATCGCCTGTAGCAAAAGCAAACAACGGAAAGTCTTCTCGGAAAACTTTGGAATTTGGGCAGGAGAGCCTTCAAACATCTGAGAGGGAAAATAACGATTATCTTGACCAGTATCTGAATAAAGATAATCTTCCCCCTGGCGGCCTCCAAGTCAAAGTTGTTTATAAAATGTCCTNACCAAAGCGTCGGCATTGCACTACAGGATTTCTACCGTACTGTCGAAGCTGACGACTAAATCCTCGTTCACCGAGAAAAGTTAAAGCGTTTTGTAGACAAGCTTCGAACGCGTCTTCCCCTTTTGTCTGGTACTCAAAGGTTTTAAAATACCTTTGATCGACACATGTCAATGATATTGGACTAGCCCAGCCAATCACGAGCCCCGTTCGCTGGCGAACGGAGGTTTTCAAAATCCAGGGGTTTGTCTGCAAGCGTTTCCCTCCTTCCCGTCTCCCAGCCCCTCTTTCTTTTTTTTTGGCTCTCGCCCCATTTTTCGCGCAGACAAAACACCGAAAATCCCGTTCCTCGGTCTTTCTTTGCTCCCAAACTCCACGGAAACGCTTGCTACGCAGGCTACATAAAACGGAAATCCCCGTAGCATTAAATTTTGTTTAGGGTTCTTCGCTCCTTGTAATCTTAAGATTATTATCTAGTTCGTAATTGTCCAACATTTCGGGCGGTTCTGTTTTTTTCTTTTTTTATAATACAACAGGTGTGAAACGATTTCGATTAAGAAGTTATAAATATGGCTTCAAGCTTCAAGTACTTAAACCTATTACTACTCGCTTTGGCTTAAAATCAGTAAAATACTCAGCGGCCGTTACTTAGAGTAATATTTCTGACACTCTAAGATCTTGAAAACAATGTCCTTTTTTTCAAAGCTGTCCGCAACCTTAGGTTTTAGTTTTTAGGTTATTTTTATATATATTAAAATAAAAATATCTATATTTAGAGACACTAATATAGTTATACCTTGTATTTTTTTGTCTAAATTTTATAAGTTTTCTTTTTATTTCCTCTATTTTTTCCCCTGAATTCTAAATGTCTATTATCGATTCCTAGGAAATTAGCATACTCTATTGCTAGAGGCCCAATCAGCCTGACCAGCCCGAGTATAAATAAAGTTAATGTCATAAATTAAATGACGAGCGAGATCAGGCTATTAATTTGCACTTAGCAATTTTTAATGGCAGAAAACATTTAACTCTAACTTCTTGATCTCCGCCCTCTTTTGAAGTAAAGATGTAGGTTTCGAACATTTCTGCTATGTTTTGGTAAATTTTCTATTTCTCATCCATTTGCTTTTTCAAGTGAATTAGCATAACCGACTTCTATGGTGGTTGATATACAAATAGGACGGATGTGGGATCGAAGATCATTAAATTAATGTTTGTATGTCGGCCTATAAACCAACCGTAACATAAAAAGCCCTAAAATTTACATCCAAATGGCCTGTTGAAAGAACTGACCTGAAAGTTTCTTTTACTGGGATGTTTGTCACTCGAATCATGGATGTTTAAGCAACATGTTTTTGATACTTTGGGCTGGAAGCCGAAAGGTTTATGACGTTTTAAAATGTTTAATTAATCAGAGAAAGCTTTTACTCAATTTTAGCTGACTGATATGTAAAAGGTTTCAATCATTTATCCGCCTTTCAATAAAATGTTGTGATGAATTGCAATCACCAGTTGCCGCATATATCCAGCAGATTCAGCTTTTTGTTGTGCACTTAGAATATTAGTGATGATGAAACTTGATTCAGAGCAGAACACGATCCGTGTTTCTGGCATTGCGCAGCTCCTACTGTCCCTGCTGTCTAGCTGGACTACGTACATACGCCCTTTCAAACCAGCGAGAAAAACATATAAAGTGGAACAAAGAACTCTATTATCGAGCAAATGTAAAACAAGGTATTTCGTTCTGCTGAGTGTTAACGGCTTAGGGAAGTTTATCGCCCAAAATTGCGTGCGTTTAGAACTGTCTGAAAATATATTGGGCCAGGAAACCCTACCTGCTCTGATGAAGAATCCCCTTCTAGAATACACAGCAATGACGAGAGCTCTTTTCAGCTGGTAAACGAGATCGTTTGTCGGAACGAAACGATAAAACCTTTGATGTTTCAAGCTTTCAATCTAACTGCGTATCACTATTACATATTCGTCATATCTATTCGTGGAGTAGTGAATTTGAATTATTGCTTGGAAACTCTAACGTTGGGGAAAACATTTGATGTATGAATTTCAACTAGATTCGCCTTGTGTGGTTCTAATTGTCAATCATGCGTTGAAACTGAACTAAAAACAGAAAACAATATGAAACAAATCAAAGAAAAAACGGACTAAAATTATAGGCGACTTTCACAAGTTTATTGCCTTGTAATGGTACAAAATCGCACGGTCTTAATTGAGGTTCAAAATGCAAATATCAGTACCTACATCTTTTGTTGTTTGCAAACCTGCTTAGAACAAAGTGCTTAACAATAATTAAATGCTAATTCTACTTAAAGACGTTTGGCATCTTTTTTCTCACAATTTTATAACTCAGTAAATCAATTGCATCTAATTTTCATTTGTGCCAGGAAATGAAAAGAATTAGCGCTCTCTCTCCATTTTCCAGGGGTGTGCGAAAAGTGACGGGGGCAATTTCAATCTTTAAAAGCTGGTTTTCACTAGCGACGGAATCGGAGTCGTAAGAGCGCTTATAACCTAGTGAAAATCGAGAGTGGAAGTCGTAAGCAGAGTCATAAGCTCGACGGAATCGTAGTCGGAAGAATCAGAACGTTTCCATTTCTTCCGATCCGATTCCGTCTACGACTCCGTCGTTTATAATCCAGTGAAAACTAGATTGTCGGAGTCGGAGACAGAATTGGAAGAACCAACCAATCACACGGCCCGAAAACGAACATGGTGATTGGTTTATTCTTCCGCTTCTGCTTCCGACTCCGACAATTTAGTTTTCACTGGATCGTAAGCGACGGAGTGTTCTGCTTCCGACTCCGTCGGTTTGATTTTCACTAGATCACTCTACGCTTCTGATTACGCCTCCGACTTCGACTCCGTCGGTTTGATTTTCACTAGATCGTTCACTCTACGTGCTTCCGATTACGACTCCGACTAGGACTCCATCGCTAGTGAAAACCAGCCCTTTTTTACAAGCCAGTGATGCATGTAAATAGAGCGTTTTCACGCGTGACGTCAACAAATTCTAAAATCCAGAACTAAAGAGCCAGCAAAGTTTTTTTTATCCTCACAAGACATAAGAAGAGTTAAATTTATATCTTTTTACAAACTTTACAGTCAATAGAGTTCTTCGTTTGAAAACCACTCCATTTTGAATTTAAGAGTTATGTCAGTCGGGTGTAGTGCGTGACTAATGGTGTGACATAAATTGTCGAAACTGAAACATACATTAGTTACTTGATTTTACCCTTTGTGAAGTTAAAGTCGTATTAGGAAAGTTGTTTACGTGAACTTTTGTTTGCTCGGTACAGATAATCAGTCGCCTATGTAACCAAAGTAAGTTCCAGTTGCTTTAACATTTTTCCGACCCCACTGTAGGGGTGGCGAATGGTCCTTCAAAAACTCTGGGTCTCGCAAAATTTTACTCGAATTTCACGGGTCTCGCAGTCTCATTTTTTTCGCGGTTATGTGCCTCTCGCAGTCTCTTTTTTTATACGAAGGTGTCTCGGAGTCTCGATTTTTTTGCAAGGCTAAGGTTCTCGAAGTCTCGATTCGTTTGTTTGTTTTTTAAAATGACGTCTTCTCGTCACCTGATATTGAATTTCATCAAAGCAACTTTCAATTTCCGAGAACTTCTCCTAAATAGACCATATGCGTATTCTCGGTATTGGACTGGAACTAGCATGCGATGGAGGCTCATGCGGGGGAATATCATTAAATAGAGATCAAAGTCTTTTGTATTTGAAAAGACTCCCCGCATAAGCCTCAGTTGCATGCTGGTTCCAGTCCAATACCGGGAATACGAATATGGCCTATTGTCTGAATTCCACAAAAAGCTAGAAAACTTACCGCAATGTCATTTTGGCGCCAGAAAAAAAACAGTTATTTTGTTCTAGGATATCATAACGTAGTGTTATAGTCGAATTCCCAGTTCCAGCTAGTACACAGAAGCTGGCCAAAAGGCTAAAAGGGGAATCATGAAACCCACACAACCCGCGATAGCTCATGATGAAGCCCACGAAGTCGGAGAACTTATCTGTTTCCCCCTGTGGAACTGCGTAAAAGCACAAGTATTCTCAGTGAAACAAACAAGTTACTACTACTCACCCAACAGTGCCTCGTACATGGACAATTGAATAAGATATTTCCATCACTCATCATGTAATTTGTTCTATGGTCATCTGGAACCGTTTTAATAAGTTTTAATTGTTCTCTGTTCTTAATTCATCCAATCCGGCGAGTTCTGAGACTGAGCGTGAACGTCTTTTACCCAAACAGCTATAGCTAGCTATAAGCTTATGCCAACTGTTAATCTGCAGTCGATTCATCATCTTCTCTTTTTGCTTATTTTTATGCCTCTTGACTCTGATAAAATGTAAAGCATATATCCTGTTCTGTTTTATGGTTTGCTTTGTTTGTCTTTTTTCTTTCCTTTTTGTCTTATGGTTTTGGGGAAGTTATCATTCTCGTAATCTATGTGGCAGACGAAGAGAACGCCCTCTAGATGTGTGGCCAACGGACGCTGGTTCTGTTTGCGCAGGTGAAGGTTCCGTTGTTGTAAATCGGCTAAGCTGCATCACACACTGATGATAGACCTCTTCATTCATTTCTAATTGAAATTCATCCTCAAGATAAGCAATGCTTTCATTACCTTTTAGCTGGCAAACTACCCGATCCAACTTCACAATACCCGTGAATTCATAATGTAGGAGCAAACAGTCCTCTGGATCAGGTCCGTAAATGTGGACTTTCGCAGTGTCCGTCAACATCCGGGGTTTCCAGTCTTGGGCAAGGTTTCCTAGTGAAAATGGGCCCGAAACTCTTTCATCGTGTGAAATTAAAAGGGTTGAACCTTTACTAAACGTAATGGTGGAAACACAATTCTGTGTCTACTATGTAGATTCCGCCATCGTTCTCTGAGTTAGCAACCAAGATGTCTCGTGTCTCCTTGTTGTAGGCCAGTCCCGTACAGCACGCCTTTCGCGTTATCGTTATGAAAGATTCGGAGTCCGCCTTCAGTACTGTACCAGTGCAGCTAACGGCAACTTCCAGGATTGTCGGACTGTTGCGCTGCAAAACGAAAAGGATGGTTCGGTCTTCGTTGGAACACAAGGTCAAAGGACTGAGATCGTCTAGAAGTGAAATTAATCCATTACGTTTTGGAGATGCAGGAGGGTTCTCCATAATCCAGTCAGAAAGCATTGACCTCATTTGAGCGACGGAAACTCTCTCGTCTTGGCCGAGCAGGCCGCGCTTGCAGAGTTCTCCTTGTAGCCGAGGCTTCTTCAGTGCTTTGGGATCTAATTTCACAACGTTGCCGACGTCCAAATATGACAGACTATCTTCTTCTGCGACAAAGATAACACCCGATTCATAGATGACCCATGTTGGATTTAAAATGTCCCCGGCTAGGACTTGGACGTCTGCAGGGTTATGAAGCCTGACTTGAAAAAGGGATCCAAGGGTGTAATCCAAAGTGAGCCAAATGCACCACAGCAAACTGAGATTGGATGGAGTAAAACTCCAAGTTTGTTAAGGCCATATTCCTTCCAGAACATTTCCGGGACTACAGTATGGACGAGATATCCCATTTGTAGCAAACCTTCTCGACGTTAGCTCCATTGCACTCTGCAACGTAGCTCGTATCCATTCGATCTCGACCCCTCAAAGCCACGTCCATCAGAACAGTCTTCAGATCTTTTGAGCAGGATGAGTCAAGCCGTGCTATGCGTAGCATCACAAGACTGAATCTCACCCTCTCGATGAACATGAACCAGTTACAAGGTGACCTGTGTACAAGTTCTTTACCGCGTGAACTATGTCAGGATTTGGCGCTGCCAGAGTGCTGTATGAGTCAGCGGTTCCATCGCTTTGGTCATTTTAGTCATTTGGTTTTTTTGCAGGAGTTCAAGGGTTGCTTAAGCATCGACTGACAGTCAATGGTAATATTGAGACACACGGCCCTAGTGCATTGGATACCTTTCTCCAGGCAGCGATCACAACTTCTCAGCACTGGGCACCAGTGTTCGAACCCCTTTTCTTTGCAGACGCGACAAATTTCTTTAGTAGAGACGCATTGAGGGCATTCGGTGGTTGTGCACTCTTCTTTTATCAGAAGGTCAGAAGTATCTTGCAGACAATGCATACACTGCTAGAGCTCTCGCAGTCGCTTAAGGTGAAATTGCAGTGTGGAATTGCCATCGCCCCCTGATCCTACGCAATCATTGCCGATTATCAAAGCTGCCCTGTTGTCAAGAGAGGCTACGCCCATGATTTCTACTTCTTTGACAAATTTGTCGGAGAAATAGTCATGGGGAATTTCTTGCTGTTGTTTCACATAACCTAATGAATAATGCTCTCGTCCTCCTACAATTAGCATGGTATTTTGGTCAACTTGGAATCCTGGCTTTATTGCGAATCCATCTTTGGCCGAGGAGACAGGCATCAGTCTGAGGGCGTCGTTTGAGATAAGTAGAACGACATCACTGCCTTGACTGAAGGCCATTCTCAAAAATGCGATAACGTATGCTCGGACTAACCCACTTTCATAAACATACCGTTCCTGCTCAATGGTAAGGGTAAAGGAATGTTTTTATCTTCCCAGCAGAAAGTCATGGGCTGAACCTCTCCCTCTGAGCAGCATTCGTTTTCCGGTCAACAGACTGAAAGTTCTGCAGTGACCACTAAGCTGTAATGTTTCGCAGAAGCTACGGACTACTGGGTCATGCTTAAATAGATTAGTGGGGTTTCCAATCTCATCGGCAAACTTGACTGCATTTGAAACCAGCCTGTAAAATATGTGAGATCGTGGTAGGCGGCCTGAACGCACTTCCCGATCAAGAAGGGCTGCGGTTGGGTCAAGTTCCACCTCTTAACCGCTACTGAGCAGCATTCGTGTCTTCGGGTCTCCGGTCTTTGTGGCGTTTACTGTGGTATTTTGTCATCTTATATTTTCTGACCTGCACCAACAGCTCACTA